GCCATGGGTTTTAGCTATTAACAGATGTTTGTTATGTTTTTGAAATTTTATGTTTTAAAAGTAAAGGGGTTATCCATAATGTTTTAATAATCTTGACGTGGTATTTTTCATAGAAAAACAAAGGAATATTTATCTACCTTATGACCCAATAATTCATAGGTATTTATCCAAGATAAATAAAGGCTTATATTCACCAGAAAAAAAAACCTTGTATGATAATTTTTGTAGTGGCTTCGCCTATATATCCAGAATCTGGAAACAGCCAAATGTCTAGCAGAAGAATGGGTAAACAAATAGTGTACTACTCAGGTGTTGAAACAAGTGAACTACTGGTACATGTAACAATATGAATGACTCATAAATATACTGAGGGAAAGAAACTGGGCTCAAAAACGTATATATTATTTAATTATATGAAAATCCAGGCCGGGCGTGGTGACTCAAGCTTGTAATCCTAGCACTTTGGGAGGCTGAGGTGAGATGATTGCCTGAGCCCCCACGGGTTCGAGAACAGCCTGGGCATCTTAGTGAGACCTCATCTCTATAATAAAAAAAATTAGCCGGACGTGGTAGTACACGCCTGTATTTCCAGCTACTTGGAAGGCTGAGGCAGAAGGATCACCTGAGCCCACCAGGTCAATGCTGGGGTAGCCGTGAGCATGCCACTGCACTGCAGCCTGGGTGACAGAGTGAGACTCCAACTCAACAAAAATAAAGATCTTGGGATATCACTGCATATAAATTTTACCTCAGGCCAGGCACAATGGCTCACACCTGTAATCCTAGCACTTAGGGAGGCCAAGGTAGGAAGCTTACTTGAGCTCAGGAGTTTGTGATCAGCCTAGGCAACGTAGTTAGACCTTGTCTCTACAAAAAAATCAAATAACTAACTGTGGTGGTGCATGCCTGTGGTCCCTGCTACTTAGGTCGCTGAAGCAGAAGGATCACCTGAGCCCAGGAGGTCGAGTGATCGTGCCACTGCACTCCAGCTTGGGTAATATAGTGGGACCCCAACTCTGATTGATTTGATTGATTTTACTTCCATTTTTAAAAAATTGAGCAAATGCTTAGGGAATCAGAAGTTATAAGATTCCAGATAATCATTTGAATTCTACTTTGTAAAATATTTTAGGACTTTATGTTGTTTGCTTGGGTTACAAATGAAAATGTTAGTGTTTCATCTTTGTAGAGATGCTTGTCCCTGATCAAGATTCTACAGGATACCTCGTGAAATGTCTAGAGTTGAGGTGAACAACTCCAGGTTGCCATATTTGGTCAGTTGTCCTTGAGAGAAGAAGAAAGTTCAGAAAAATTGGTCTAGCAGAAGCCAATCTAGTAGAAACTCCAGAGGTTCTGGACTGTATATAAAACTTAGCTGCAAGTTTTCTTATCTAAACTTAAATTTGGTAAAGAGGTAACATACACTTTCAGCCTTGTTGAGGCAGATACAAACTGCCAAATTTCATTGTCAAAACCAGGACAGTAAGGTTGAACTAATCACTTTCATGGGAAAGTAATTCTATAATGAACTCTGTTACCTCTAGGATTACAGGTGTGAGCTTCATGCTCTCTGAGAGAATACAGTGGCGAGTGATGGGGAGTGGCCAAGACACAAGTGAAGCCTATCTTGGAGTAAGACCATCTGGGTTCAAATTTCAGCTCTGCCAACTAAATTCTGTGCTCTTCTGAAAGGCATTAGTGTGGTCTGCCATAGTGTACTGTGATCCTGTATAGTAGGCCATCACCTACAGCAGCATCATATGACGCCCACTCCAACACCCCCCAGTGAAGGTGTGCTGTCTAATTTTTATTCTCCTCTTGTGGTAGTCTCTGCTCTGTTTTTAGGATCCTGGCCTGCAAATAACACATGTGTATGCACACACACTGGCATACACACGCATTTTTTCCATCATGCTTCTCTTCGACTTTCTCACTAGCTAATGAGTGACTGCTTTGTTATCTAAAAGAAGCAGTTCAGTTCAGACATGTTTTCACATACCTGTTCTCTCTGCACAAAACTCTTCTTTCATCTTTAATTCTTGTTCTTTTATCTGCTGGCATTTTCAAACCTGAATCACTTCTTTCTAGTTAGAGAAGGTGACTAGAAGTAAATTTACTGCTTTTTATTTTTTTTAAATGTATATAGTGTATAATTCATAATACTTCTGGTTTTTTTTAATATATAGATTTAAATTTGAAACAACTTTTGTTAAGTTTTTATTTTAGTGTTAAGTTTTTAGTGAACAAGTTTTAAGAAATTTATTATACTGGGCTCGGTGACTCAGCCTGTAATCCCAGTGCTTTGGGAGGCCAAGGTGCGTAGATTGCCTGAGCCCGTGGGTTTGAGACCCGCCCGGGCCACTTGGCGAGACGTCATCTCTACAATAAATAAATAAATAAAAATTAGCCAGGTGTGGTAGCGCACACCTGTAATTCCGGCTTCTTGGAAGGCTGAGGCGGAAGGATTGCCAGAGCACAGCAGGTTGAGGCTGCGGTGGCCAGGAGCATGCCACTGCACTCCATTCTGGGCGACGGAGTGAGACTCCAACTCCAAAAAAAAGAAATTTATTATAATAGATTTCTTATTCTTTCCAGTAGTAGCTTAGTTACTTTTGTTTTTAATAAATTATCTGTGTCTTTCAATGAAATCATGTTATCATGTCTTTAAAATTAATCTTTGTACAAATTAATAGGCGTCATCTCACAAGTATGCAAATATCTTTTTCGTGTATTCTACTATAAAAAGTGGGTTTTTAAAAAGTTAGCAGTGGCACATTAACATTTTCTTCATGATGTTTTCACTTACCTTTTTCTTTAATTCTTTGTAAAAGCCCACTCAGCAGTTCTACTTATTATACATTATACTGCACCATTCACTGCTATAATGCCAAGATAGAATTTTAGGCAGCATTGCAGCTACAATAATAAGGAAGACTGAGGAACTCACGACTTTTCATGGTCCTCCCCCTTTTATGAATTAGGGAGGAACAAAATTACATCTGAAAATTGTACTGTTGGGTACTTTATTTATAAATATTAAGCCCTAAGGATTAGATAATACATAAAAGTGGGGGCATTTAGTTGCATTTCTGCCTGGACTGTGATAGACGGACTTTCATCTGCTGCTTTCTTTTGCTGTAGAACTTAGACACTTGGAATTTGAGAAGAAAGTTAAGGACTTCTCATACCAGCCATTTGAAAAATAAGTTCTAGTAAATATCTTGAATCAGGGTAGGTATTACATGGGGGTTAATCTGTGATAAATAAGAAATAAGCTCTAGTCCCATAGAGCTTGCTTTGGAAGTGGTGATAATAAACAAACTATAATTCAGGGCAGAAAGAATGTATATAGTAGCTTCTCACTTAATGTTGTTGATTGGTTTTAAACTGATTTTAAACAAAATGAGTGTAATGAAACGAATTTTTAAAATCAATGTTATAACAGTGTTTAGGGCAATGATGTAATCTGAGAACCTGCTGAATGTAGTTTTACTTAAAGGGTTCATTTCCAATAACGTGTCAACATTTAATGGCTGTTGGAGAAGGTAACATTTATGTTGAAGTTTATGGGAATAGGTAGAATTTGGAAAGAGAGACGGTAGAACAGCATACTGAGGAGGAGCATTTGCAATGGAGAAAGTGAGATTATGCACAAAGATGACTAGGGGAACGTGATCTGGTTGGATTTATAATATTACACATATATGGAAAATAGTAGAAGATTAATGGCTTTAACTTGAGAATGTTGCTTGGGACCAGAGATCATAGGTTAAATCTTTTATGTTTGTATATAGTAAGAAACCATGAAAGAATCTGAGACATGAGGCTGTTGGAAAATACTGTGCTGAAAATTGTGTTTTGGGCAATTACCTGACCTTTGTGTATAATTAATTGGAGAACACATACACCATTAATATTAATAGCATATTTAGTAGTTTGGTTCCTACATCAGTAACTACTAGGACAAAGGTGACAACAGTAAGTGGAAAGAGTGGGACAAATCCAAGGTAAATGGGGTGACCAAATACATCGATGATTAGAGACTACCAGGTTTACCTCTGTCTTTGTAGCATAGTTATAGTTAGTTCCCCTTTTTACTTTTAAATGTTTCCTGCCTTGTACAGTAAATATGGGGACTTTAAAGATAGATTGCTGTAGGTAGGATTGATAACAATTGAGGGCAGAAAGGGATGATGGCATAAGAGAACAGAATATGCAATTTTTATAAGTTCTTAATGATTTTTGTAATTCCACTAAATTTTCCTTTTGGAGAATTAAGCATAAACTTTATTTACCTGAATGCCACAATCATATCTTGTAGGTTTAAAATCTCAGTGTGTTATTTATTTATTTATTTTTTGAGTTGGGAGTCTCACTCTGTCACTCAGACTGGAGTGCAGTGGCCACTCCCAGCCACTGCAGCCTCAACCTCCTGGGCTCCGGTGATCCTTCCACCTCAGCCTTCCAAGTAGCTGGAACTACAGGCGCGTGCTACCACACGCAGCTAATTTTTGATTTATTGTAGAGATGAGGTCTTGCCAAGTTGCCCAGGTGGGTCTCGAACCCGTGGGCTCAGGCATTCCACTCACCTCGGCCTCCCAAAGCACTGGGATTACAGGCTGAGCCACTGAGCCCAGCCCTTAGTGTGTTTTTTAAATTTTAATTAACGTATCTGAGTATTATAGTATCCAGCAAAATAACAGATACTGAAAAGATTATACTTTTTAGAGGAGCTTTAATAAATTAGCGTAGCTGACATTAAAGTGTTCAAATAGAAATGCAGCCAGTGGCCACTGAGAATATTCTGTGTATCCACAAGCTGTCACTGAGGGAATGGGCTCCAGTACGTCAGCATCTTTGGGTCCTGATCTTTTTTTTTTCAATATTGAAACTGGTGGCTGTAGTCACATGATACTCCTTTTAAAGCTTGTGTGTAGATATAACTGTTATATTTGTGGACAGTGTTACATGTTTATGGCTCTTGTGTTTTCTATGTGTAGGCAGAAGGAGAAGACAGCCTGAAGAAGATGCAACTGATGGAGCTTGCGATTCTGAATGGCACCTACAGAGACGCCAACATCAAATCACGTAAGAATGACACTGATGCCTAGGGTTACCACTGTCTCAGCTATTTTGTCTACAAACCTTTCTCCTTCTGGTAGCACAACACATGAACAGCTTAAACAAAGTGAAGAGATGAAGTAATTGTGTCACTTGATAGGGGTCTAACTGTCCTCTTTTTAATGCTTTCATGAATTGAGGACAATCTTTATTTTATGCCAGCATGTCTAAGGTTGGGGTTTTAATTATTTTTATGACATCCCAGTCTTTAGATTTAGAAGTTCCAGGACATTTTCTATTCGGTTAATTACAGATGTGAGGCTTTCAGCTTATTTTGCTACATTTATGCAAACAGCTATCATTTTGAAAGCTGATTTTTACAGTGAATTTGAAGTGTGTCTGAATGGAATGGCCCTTCTGTTGAACTCTGTCTTTCCACTTTGCTTGCATGTTTTCCCTCCAAGATGTTTTCCCTATTGATTTCCTATGTGAGTTCACAGAGATCAGTGAGCAATAACTATTTCTGGTCCTGTTTTTGCCTTTATATATATCTGTACATATTTTTATAAGCCATAAAAGGATTGCTTTTTTTTAATATTTAAAATGCAACAATATGAGATTTAGATTTTGAGACAATGCATTTCATTTATAGGAATATAATGGTATTTAAGGTAAAAATTTCTAAAAGGAAATAGAATTTTAAAGTCCCAAACAACTTTCCAAAATATAGGGAACCGAGTGGGTTTACTAGTAGTTACTTCATAAATGGATGTCTTGGCTCATGAGACTATATCTCATTACTGGTTTGGAATTTAGAAATGAGGACCTTTTTCCTGTTTCTGTGAAGTTAATTTCTAAAGATGCAGGAAACGTATGTATACACCTAGGGTTCACTTGACTTACTTAATGCAAAGATAATTATTCCTCCTTTATTTTTTAACTAAAGCTGCACTTTAGAACTGTGTCAAGACTGTATTTCTGTGGACTCCGATTCCAAATTATCTTTTAACATCTTCAGTGCGAGTGTTTTCTTGTGCTTCTGCATGCACCTTAGTCCTATGAAATCTTAAAATGATAGATACATAAAATATGAACTAAATATAACCTATTTAATGGGCTCATTCATTTTTGACAGTGGCTTTTTAATTTTGCACAGTCTTAATCACATTGGGAAAGGGAAAGCTGTTTGCATTTGATTGGTGTGCTTTGGCATTTTTGTGTGATCAGCGCATGTACTAACGTTTTCCTTTTATTTTTCTTCTTTCCTGCCTTTTCCTTTCTTTTTCCTACTCCCCTCTCATTTTCCCATATTTTACACTGCTGTCTCTATACTTCCTTCTAAATTTCTTTGCTTACTGTAGCAGCCCTTGCCTTTTCTCTTGCAGCAACAGCCCAGGCTGCTCCAAGGATCATTACTGGGCCTGCGCCTGTTCTCCCACCGGCTGCCCTGCGTACTCCTACGCCAGCTGGTCCTACCATAATGCCTTTGATCAGACAAATACAGACCGCTGTCATGCCAAACGGAACTCCTCACCCAACTGCTGCAATAGTTCCTCCAGGGCCCGAAGCTGGTTTAATCTACACGCCGTATGAATACCCCTACACGTTGGCACCAGCTACATCAATCCTTGAGTATCCTATTGAGCCTAGTGGTGTATTAGGTAAGTTTTTCTTTCATGTGGTTAATAACATTCTTCTTTATACATTTTGCTTTATACATTTCAGACTTTGAAATGATTTTGTCAGTTTTAGAGAGGCAGCGCAAGTTTCCACGAGGAAAGACTGGAAACTAAATTTTGTTTTATTTCAGCCTCCCATGAGGGTTCTGCTTTTAAATAATTGCACCTTAAATTTGTTCAGTTCCACTTTGGTAACTCGGGTTCACTTTAGTGGATAAATTTGTTATGTACATTTTAGACAAAATACTTTTTGCTTTTGACATTACTGAGGTCATTCTGAGTTTTGGGTCCGATCCCATCACCTATCATCTCTACCTCTCAGTCTTACATTTGTATCTCGCAGATCTGTTTAGTTGTTGGCTTAATTTTAAATTTCTGTGTGAAAGTATTTTGAGATCTTTATAAAATTCATATTATTGTATGTGTTTTTTTATTATTTGTGATCACTTAAAATATGAAAGGACCAGATAAATACAGTCATGCATTGCTTAACAACAGAGAAATGTTCTGAGAATTGCATCGTTAGGCAGTTTCATCATTGTGCAAACATGGTGGAGTGTATGCACAAACACAGATGATACAGCCTACCACACGCCTGAGCTGTTTGGTATAGCCATCATAATTCTATAGGACCACCATAGTGTGTGTGGGCCATCGTTGACTAAAACATCGTTATGTGGTGCATGACTGTAGTTACATTCTTCAGGTTTTCACTTTTTGTCTTCTGAAGTCTTAGTCATATTAAACATGAACGATATTCTTAGTTTTAGTAGTACAATATGGAGTAGATGAGTAAATACCTAGTCACTGAATTTAGAATCACACTTGAAGCAAAAATTAAAATCATACTGTAAACGCTTGGTTTTACATGAACAAAAAGTGGTGTGCTTGAAAAAGACATTACTGATGCCTTTTTTTTATAGAGTGGATTGAAATGCCAGTCATGCCTGATATTTCAGCCCATTGACTTGCTGGATGAAGGACTAGAATACAGCAGCTGTTATAACACGACCAGTCAATGTGGAACAAACTGTTTCTGTGCAACCCCTTTGTTTTACCAGACAGAATTTGAATACTTTTTTCCCTGAATTGTATATGACCTTGGTGCTGCATGCATGCTGTTGACTTTTAGGACTTTGATCTTTTAAGGTTGTTTTTTTTTTCCAGCATTAATAGTGATTTATAAAGATTTGAAAGTCTTTAATGAACCAGGACACTAAGATTTAAACTCGAAAATTCATTGTTCAATTAAAGAAAGTCACATTGCTCTGTATGTTATCTGTGTGTGTGCATGCACTCAGGTGCCTTTTGTTTTATGGACAAATACTTTTTGTTGTACATGTTTTCCATTTATCTCTAAATCATTGTATAAAGTAATTATAGGTCAGAATTATACCACAGAACTGTTGATGAGAGGCTTGTTTCTGTTGCACATTTTCTTGAAGCATATTTAAAATAACATGTAACCTGTAACCTTGTTTAAGTTTTCCTTTCTATTAATACTCTGTCCTGTGGTCCCGTGCATGCTCCTTTTCCCAGAACTCCTCTCTGCTGCACCCACAGCATCTGTTCCCGAGGAGTTATGACTCTTGACTTCCTGTAGGGCTGGGACTCTTAGCCTCCAGCTGCTGTACCAGCACTTTCAATTCAAGATCTCCCTGATTTTGCCACATGGAATTATACTTGTATATGATGAATTTATCTAAAATGAGTAAGGGTGATAGACCAGTTTACTGCTTAGAAACAGCAAGAGGCACTGCAGTAAAATTTGTCTCTCGTTAAACAACATGTTTTTTGTCTGTTGGGAAATCTTTATTTTTTAAATTTTAAATATTAGACTGGCAAAATAGAAACCAAAACATGCAGATCCCTAATTGGCATTCACACAGTGAAGAATAATGAGTCGTAATGGGGGAAAAATGTATTATGATCAGTTTTATTTCTTGCTTTACCACCTAAGCAGTAAAACATAATATTGACCACTTGGCGAACTGAGAAAATTATTTTAAATTGCTGAGTTATAACAGATTTGCACACAGATAACATGCATGCTATTTATATCAAGTCTCACATAAATTACTTTAAAATAAGCAGTGCCCTTCAAAACAGATGCAGACATGTGTGTTGGTAGTAGTGAGGAGATTGGTATTAGCATCAAATCTTCATTGATGACTAATTTTTAATTCCCTTCCTTTTATCTTTAGGTATGGCTTTCCCAACGAAAGGCTAAGAATTCAAGAACGGTCTTAACTGAACCCTCATCAGATCTGAATTTAACATGCTTAGTCTCAGCAGCCTCCGGGGGAAAAAAAGCTTAGCCTAGCAGTCAGTGACTTACTTGCACTTTTTGCACATAGATATAAAGTAAAATTATGTTGTTAATTTGGTTTAGTCTGTAATATTACAAAGTAATGGTAATTTATAAAGGAGTGTATAGTAGTATACTGACTGCTAAGTGTACTATACTGTTTGCTTTACTAATCACCTAATTCATTGCAGTTCATACTTATTGACTCAAAGTTTAAAACCACAATCTGTAGGCTTTAAGAATTGCTTTTAAACCTTTTTAAGTGATAAACTCTGGAAGTGGTCTTAAGGTTAGCAAATAATTGTCAGTATTAAATATGACATTATTTAAGTAGTCCTGCTGCAAGAAAGGCACTTCAGTGAATATGTGACTAGTAAAGCTTAAATATGTTTGGATCTACTAGAGTTCATGAAATACTGTAATTTGGGGATTGTAAATGAATGGATAAAATAGGTTAAGGCCAAGATGTTTGAAATGAATGCAATATTAATAGATGCATATATACGTGACATAATATGGTTAATTTTAAAACTACTGTGCCTTAACGTGTTTCTTAAACTTTTGTAGTAAATGAACATTTGAAATCCATTTTTGATAAACCTGCTGTTAATGTTTTTTTTTCCCCTTGTGAATGTTTTCTAACTTTGTCTTGGTAATTGCAATTTAACTAGGTGCGGTGGCTACTAAAGTTCGAAGGCACGATATGCGTGTCCATCCTTACCAAAGGATTGTGACCGCAGACCGAGGTTAGTTTAGTTCTGCAGTTCTTGTTCATAAGAATGCGCTGGGTGTCCATACAATTTGCAACACCACGCCTGATGGAAACATGTAATTGCTTACCTGCACACAGTTTCTTTTCCTTTTCTAAATTCATTTGTAATAATTGACAGATTTAGGGGTTGGGTTTTTTGTTTTGTTTTTTTTTCTCCTCCCTTTATATTTTAACTTATTAAATCTTCTGTTACGTGCTATGATTTATTCCTACTAAAACACAAATTAGTTGATTGGGAAAGCTGTTAAATTTTGATGTTGCCTCAACTATTTTTCAGTAATAATGTTTGCTAAAATTTTCCTTTAATTGTTCAGAAATTTGGGGTTGGTATTGCAAAATGAATTGAACAGATGGTGCTTTAATGAAAGAAGTAAAGGACTATATGTCTCCTGTGTACTTTTGGAGAAAACTGAAGATTTAGTTTCCCTTTTTCTTTATAATAAAATATTTGAGCCACTGTATAAGCCTGAGGGTGCACATGTCAGGTATTTAGATGAAATCAACAAAGTAAGGACTGTGAAGATAACTTTCATGTAGTTGGATTTTTAAAAATAAATTAGAAAGTCAATTCCCTTTTATTCTTACATTCTCTTGCCAAAATGGATCCTTTGATTTTTGTCATTTGCTGCTAAAATATATTATCCGAAGGGTAAACTATCTCTTAAAGCTTTGTGGTGATAGAGATCCAGCTGTTTGAGTATCCTTTTTGACTAACCTGTGACTGGAAAATAAGTCTCCATTTTTCTCCTTTACAACATTGGTAATTTGTGTCCTATATATGCCCTTGGACCCTTTTGTAAATTATTTATGCTTGTTGAGGAGCGACATTTTCGGTTTATTGACATTGAATTGTTTCTTAAGTTTTTCATCACAGGATGGTAATCTGAAGCATGGTAGAAAAGGATTTTTTACACTTTTCTATCATGGCACATTTATTATCTACTAATTAAATCTATCAGAATCTCTAATATTAGTGGGAAATAAGTGATGGATTTACACTTCAGTCTCACGTCTATGAATTTATGTAAGACCTGCCAGCTTCATGTGGTTACCTTGAATACTGATGATAAATACTAGACATAGCTGTTCTTCACATCAGAAATAAAATGCCTTTCCAAAGATATTGTTGATATTTATTTAACATCATACATAATTAAAGAGCCCTGAGGACTTTTACACTAATGTATACATGACTTGTCATGATTATTCAGTGAACAGAATAGATCCTCAGATGAACGATAATTTATGAAGGCAGAACTTCTGATAAGTGTGTCATGTACAAGCATATGCACAGCTCTTCTTGCATCAGAGCATGTCCCCCTAGGAATGGGAGAGTTTTTTTGTTTGTTTGTTTGGTGTTTTTTGGCACTTTAGTTCTAAAGAAACTGGATAATTCCATTAGTAACTTAAAGTGTATACATATCGCTGATATCTAAAATAGTTTAAAGAGCAGTTTCAAGTGTTTTTTAAGGAGATTTTTAAAAATAATTTTGTCTTAACACAATAATTATTGGCCTACTTAATACTTCAGTGCCTTGAGATAGTTGAAAATATTGGAGGGCAATATTACCATATTTGGAAAATTACAACACATTCCATGCATGGCTCTTTCGTACTTACATGGATTTTGATTAGTCCTGTCACTGTTTTTATTCAAAATGCAATGTCAGCAAACCGAAATGCTATTTTTTATAAAAATAACAGAGTACTTGTATACTTATTATCACTGTATGCACTCATTGGGTCTAAGGGAGATGTCTAAAGTCCTTCACTTAAATTATTTTATGATACTACTGTTTTCTCTATTTTTGAGGTTTTCAAAACTATTTTTAAAAAGTCTTTCGAAGAGAAGCTTATTATAGGCATTCACTTACTGCAAAGAAACTCGGTCCTTGGATGTATAACCATGTAATTCTATTATGATAATTTAGAGCACTACATGGTTGACCAGTATCTAGTTCTTTACTAAAAATAAACCCATTTCAAAACTGAATTTGAAGCCTGAAGACCAACTGACGTTTTAGTTGTAATGAACTATAAATGGTTTTGCACAGTTTTGACATACCTGTGTGTACTGTAGGAGGCCCAGACTTGGCAGAGGATGTATTCTAGGTGTACTGGTATATGTAGATGGTAATTTGTTTTATTTATATATTCCACACTCCAAAAAAATCAGAAGTTTTTCTGAGTAATGATTTTATAAAAACCATCACTTACCAAATTTGTATAAGAAACTTAGTTTTAATCAAAATTTTAAGTAATATCAAAAATGCTTTAAGATATTTTATTTTGGAGTACCTGTGAAGTAGTATGACTACATCATGTTAAATATTTATTTTCTTCTTTGATTTTGGAGGAACAGTTTTTATTTTAAATAAAATTCCACTTTTTAAGAAATTCAGGGAAGATTTGGTCACAGTGAAGATACAATATTTTTTTAGTATTTATAACCTGTTCTAAATAATAGAGTGTAGAAAGCATTTTTGTCATATGAAGGTAAATCAGTTCATTCTATAGATCATTTAAACTCTGTGAACATTACACCTACTAGGTTTTGATTTATGAAGTGGCACAGAATCTTACTTTGCACTGAATATCTTTTCGTTCACATCTCCTCTGCCTTAGTCACGATGGCAACAGTACAGAAAATTATATCAAACCTCAGAATATAGTAGAAATAATTAAGCTGTTGAATGAGTCTTAAAAATCATACTACTGTTAAGTGGACCAAGTTTGGTGAAGCAGAATGTGACAGAGGTTGATTAAGGAAGGAATAGCTCAAGGACATTGGGAATGATAACTTTTCCACTTGAGAATTACTTTATGTTTTACTGTAATTTTTAAACATTTTTTGTTCCTTTTGTTATTTTGCAAAAGAAAATAGTATTTACAGGTGGCTTCTTTTAAAATATAAAAATATAAAGCAGGAATGTATATGAAATGTCAGATTTTATTGTATTTGCAGAGTATTAGCTTTGAAATTGAATAAAGAAAGCTGTTTGTAGTTTTAAAATGCCTTATTGGTATCAGTTAGAAATTTCTTCTATTTTTTGATGTACTTAGAGCTTTTTGAGTATAGATTTTAAATGGCAGGATTTTACAGTGTTTACATGCAAGTGCATTTTATAAGTGTTCTATATGTGTAAAATAGTATTTTCAACTGGAAAGTGTTGGCTAGTGCAAGAGGCCTGGCCTTTTTCTGGTTCCCATGATGTTGCCTACACTGCTAGACTACAGTTTAGTATTGCTTTGTATCATGAGGCCAAGAAATTCCATGTTGTTTGTAAATAGAATAATTGAAAAAGCAATAAACATTTATTGAACAAAAGAAACCTTGTTTGGCCCAGAGTTTATGTTGAACCAAATTGTTCGTAGAAATTAAGTTTCTTTAGATCCATTTCTGTTAATCATCAGTTATTAATAATCACATCCATCATTAATAGTTGCTTTAATGCTTGCATCTGAGAGAATACTAATGCTTAATAGCAGTCAGATACTGATAACTGCACTGACTGTTTCAAAATTCTGTATACCAAACCTATTCATTGTTGTTTTTCAATTTCCTTCATTGACTGCTACTAACTATTAGTTGTTAGTTGTATTTTATTTCTATTTTTCCTGTTAACCAGTTTTTCATTTTTATTTATTTATTTTTTAAAATTTTGTGGGAGTGGGCTCCTCTTCATTTGTTCAAATCATGATATGAAATTGTCATGATTTTTATTGTATTCTGTAGATGGTGTCAATCAGTTTGTCAGAATTAAACATGCTTTTTTTTATTAGTTGTGATTAGTTTTTCATGTTGTCATTAAGCCGTCACTAGCTGAAACTAATCTCTTCTCTATCTTTTCTTTTCTTTTTTTTGTTTTGTTTTTTGTTTCTAACCACCCAGCCGCCACCGGCAACTAACCTATGACCTTCTGACCTCTGAACTCTTCACCCAATGATGACCTGACCATGCCTGCCTGCTGATCAGTTAACTGGTAATCGCCTTTGCTTGCCTGTCGTCAGTGCAGCGAGCTGAGGCACTTGTCCGTTCGTCTTACCATCTAACCAAACAAAAGACAAAGAAATTGTTGTCCTCCAACTCAGCTTTTGTTTTATTTTCTTCCTGTTTGGGTGAAAGTGGTTCTAGAACCTGCACTGAATTGTAGTAAAGCAATAAGGCCCAATTCATCCCACAGCACTGATCATCTTTTAATGTCCCATCCTAAGCGAACGGTAAGAAGGCCTCTCTTAAGAAGGGGAGACAGATGGCCCTTAACTACTCAATGACAGAGGCAGTTACTGTGAGAGACTTCTAGGAATCTTTTTCTTCTGATAGCGAAGTCAAAGCTCTCTCTGAATGTACTGTGTGATGATGCATCATGCATGAACCTTTGGTCAGGGATGTCATTGGTGAAGTGATTTCAAAAAAGTATTCAAAATTTGATATGCTGTTTAGTCACTACAGTGCCCTCAAAGGGCAGAAGTTGCAGCCTTTTTTATAATGCCTGCCAAAATTTGAAGTATTAGAAGAAGTGTGCCATGAGAGAAAAACCTATGGAGTTTTGAAAAGTAATGCAAAGAACAAAACTGCAACACTATTTTTTAAAAGATAAATATCTGAGTTAAAATTATTGAACCTTTATTTTACACCTCCTAAAAAATAACGAGAACAAGGTACATGCATTATGTGTCACATTACTGGGCAAACTGTTCAAGTATTTTTTTTAAACCTCCCTGTATAGAAAAAAATCATTAAGGATGTAAAAGCCATGCTTGCCTATTTGCTGTATACATGTAATGAAATTGTAGATAAAGTGTAGTGCATTGAAACAAATGAACAAAAAGTAGATACTTTTACTATACAAGGGTGCTGGTGCAGAAAAAAATATATATATTTTTGGAAATGTAGCATTTTATACTTTCAAGTGTTATAAAAAAAAGAAAAAGAACAAAGAAACCCTTTATTTCATTAAATGATTTTTTCTGGTGGTTGTCAAGAAACAAAAGACCAAAAGAGCCTTTTTGTCTTTCTTTTTTATTTTTTAAGTATTGGAATAAGTCTAAAGAAAAGAAAGTGCCTTATTTTCCTTCATGGTCATTTAGTCAAGTGTCTCGTAAGATCAGCTCCTCCCTCAGAATACAAGTTAATGCATGTTACTCAGTCGCCCAGTATGTGAAAGGAGAGATGAGGGAGACAAATGAGTTGATGATTTGAATTAGATGATTTTTGCCACGTTACCTTGATACAAATTTGCCAAATCTGATACTGTGAAAAAATTTGATAAACTTTTCTAATGTCTGACTAGTATGTTTTAAAACATCATTCTTTCAAAAATCTTAATTGAGTACTTTTGGTTATTGCAACCTTCGATGTTAGCCCAAAGGATTCTGAGATAAAAAATTATGTGTAGGCTAAACATCAGTTTATAGACTAAATTAAAACTTTATTTTATTTGGAGAAGGGGATGCATTAGTTTTTATTATTATTATTATTATTATTAAGTGGAGATAATAGGATACCTAACAGACTTTTTCACAAGATTTGTGATTTTCATTCTGGAAACCAGTATTTTTTAAATGACCCAAATTTAATCAGACTTCTTTATATCGTATCAGATAACTTATTAGTCCATCTCTTTGCTGGTTTCAGTAACTTCTGCTACCCCTCCACGCCCCCCCACTTTTAACTTTATAGGAATGTGAAAAACTAGCATCATTGTGCATATAAATACTCAGCTACATTTCAGTTTAATCTTCTAATTTATCATGAAGTTTAAACAGGTTTGTGGTTAAAGCAATGTTTGCACAAAGCCTACATCTAAACACTTGAGTGAATAATTATTAACTGCTCAGTACCAGACGTGGCAAATCTCAAGTTGACAGTGGATTTCCCCCAGCCTGTCAACTCATCCCCTCTTCCACACCTTCCAGCGTCCCAGTCAGAGGTCAGCAGGAAGCTCAGTCAGCACCTTCTCGGTGACCTCCCCTATCATCTTGTCTCACTTGGAAACTTTTTAAGTTTATTTACTATGCAATAGACATTCATTGTTTTGTATCCAGCTAGCTTTGGTTTAATGTGCCACTGCTTTGTCTTTCTGTTACACCTACAGTTGTTTTGATTTATTTACAATATATGCTGTGCCATTTTGATTTTTATATTGTTTGGTTGGTTGAATAAATTTGCGACACTCAAACACTTGAGGTGATAGTTGTTAAAAACAATACCAGTATTTGATCCAGTTTCATCTCAACTATATTATACCTGGACATTTTAGATATTTATCAAAGGTCTTTTATGGGCTAGAAGGTTAAATGTATGAAATAATAAATGTGTGGCATTGATGAGTAATGTTGGCTCTGAACAAACTTTTGAAAAACTTAAAGTTGATAAATTTTTGGATCAACTGAAAAAAAGCATGACTTTTGAAATCTCTGGATGCCTTGGTTCTCAGTATTATCATTCTTTATTGAATTTATTTCTTATTAAAATATGTAGTTTTTAAGACTTTTTTTCTGACAGTATTATGTAATTTTTTAGTGTGGGTAGATGGGAGTGTCGCTTGTATGTTACCATACAGCTGACATGTATTTTTGTCTATTCTTTATTATCTTAGTAGTTTCATGCTATGTATGTACCATAACCAACCTATTGCCTATGAGAAACATGTAAGATAATGTATTTACAGCCATTGTTACAAGTTTATAATGTATTTTTCTATCTTGTTTTATATGTATGTTATATAACATTCAAAAAGAATTTTTTTCTTGATTGAGAAAAGGATACAAAATGCAAAATCCACAATTTTGATAACTGAAAATTGCCAATTGTTTTGCAGTACTTTATTATATTGGGTGTCTTGTCTTTTTTGGGCTTTTAGTTAGCTAATGAATGAATACATTAGACACTTTTGGGTTTTAGTTGGGATTTTACATAGCTTGCATTTTAATTCTTTGGTTCTTTGCTGTTTCTATTAACCCATAGCATTATTTTAATAAATGTTATAATACCAACCTACTAACTCTGGACTATGTCTGTTTATTAACATTTACATGTTTAATTAAAATAAATAAAGACAAAAGAATGTAAAGTCTTGAGTTACTGGACTAACCCTGAAGAACGTGACCACAGATAATATAGCGTGACTTGTTTTTATGTTGTTTGTCAGCTGACAATTCCGCACACTACTGTTAAGATGGCTTTGGTTATTCTGGTCTTTTACCTTGGGGGGTAGCTGCCAGTAGAGATGGGAACAAAGTAGCAGTTGTTTGAGGCATTCTTCTTCTAGTCTTGTCATTTGCCTTTCAGCATCTGCCTTACTAATTCCACACGTTCTTATTTTTCCTTTTCCAAAATAATCACTGTCTGCTCACAAAATAAAGAGTAAAGAGATTCATTATAATGGTGTGTACCCAGAGAAACCAGTTTGATTCTTTGTTGAACCATTTCTTTTCATTTCTGTAAGTAGGTAGTTTTATGGTTTAATTATAGCGCAAAGAATCTGTTGATATTTTACCTTTAGTTACTAGATTTGTGTCTTAACTTGACATTTTTCCTTTGCTAAGTGTTGAACTTGTTTAACCAGCTGCTGCTTTTAGAGGAGCTTGGCATAGGTAAAGCCAAAGGCAGTTGGCTGTTGCTCCCAACAGTCTAGTCAGTGGTTGGTAATGATGATACAACCCCGTTTCCATCCTTGTTGAACTCTCAGCGCATTATTGAGTTTTCCTCAGGTATTTTTTCTTTCTCACCTATATCCAAAACACACTAAAGCAAGAAGTTTAAAGGGGGAAAACACTGGAATTTAAAATTGTATATGATGAATATCTTGCATACAAACCAATTTAAGAAGATTTCTTAAATATCTTCATGCTTTTCTTGCCTTCAGCCTGGGTAAATTGACCTCTAAATTCTGTAGTTTAACTTTTGAGGTACATATGTATTTCACAGATAGATAATTGCTTTTTCTGTGAAAGAGTTCTCCTAAATAATAAACTTCTCAGGATGAATTTTTGTATTGTAAATAATGATGTATCTTTGTAAGTTACATTTTATTTATTTAATTTTAAAGTTTGAGACTGAAATGAGTTACATGTAATAGAAGACAAAACTATACCAATATAAGCTCTTACCCTGTCAGACTATTCTCATATTTCATATATGTATGTGTATATATATATATATATATATATGTTTATAAAATACATAGAACAGTGATAACTTATTTGATCAAAATTGAGATGGTTGATTGGGTCATATAAGCAAATACAGTCATTTTTCTGAGGGGAGGGATGGGCAGTGTATTATTGTTAGGTAAGCAGATCTTTAATATGCTACTACTTGTAAAAG